ACACACGCCAAATAAATCTCGGAGTACCATCAATCCAAATTATAGAGGTCGGAGATAAGGTAGTTTCGGAGTGCAACGACGAATTATTCTAAACAGATAACAATACGACCATAGTTAACGTCAAGGAGTGCTATAATATCAAGTAATAACATAGTTTTCAAAAATGTCACACTCTCTTTGCAATATAAGCGATTTAACTCAATATGGTGACTGTTTTGAGATTTCGACTATATATTATTGAACAATATAAAAAAAAAAAAATTTAAGTATCTACCATTGTAAATTAGCTAAGTGGTAGTCAATGATTTTTGATTTATTTGCTTCTATATAACTAATCATGTAGTGACTTAAAGGTTTAATATTTTATGATGAACAAAGGAGTGCCACTTTAGATCTCGTAAAGCTTAAGTGTAGGGTTCGAAGCCGTAGCCCATACATTGATAGTTGTGACAAACTCGAGCAAAATTCATAAAATAAATTTTTTTTAAAAAAAAGAAAAATGTGTAAAATAAATTTTATCTAGTAAAAAGAATCTACAATTTGTTTCTCTTAATTATTTAAACTATCATAATATCTATTAGACTAAGTATCGAGCATTCAATCATGATAAATATATAATAATGTATTTTTCTATGTGCATTTCAAATATTGGGACGACGCTGTCAAGAAATGACTATTGGGGACGAAAGCGATAAATAGATAATGTTCAAAATCGCGTCTGAAAATTTTCCATTTAATTAATCATCGCAAAACCCTTCAATTATTAGCAGTAAAGATGTTACATTTTCCATTAACATTCATAATATTTAAAATAGAACATAGAAATATAGGTGCAATCAAATGGTGCTACCTAAATTAATAGCTTGTAGTAAAGTGAAGAGCATGAAAATCAATTGATCAATGCATCCAATATCTTGTGGGTGCCCTATATTCTTATAAGTCATAATTCAAATGTCTTTATCATTTTTGCCAAATTCATGCACCCAAAGGATTAGGGGATAAGGCTATATAGCTACTGCATTTCTTTATTTATTTAGCTTTTTAGGTTCTCTTAAGTATTCAAAATATGAATTAGTTGCTTTTATTGGATATCGTCGCTATGTTCAACGGAGTTGGTTGTGATTCTTGTCGTTTTACACCCTGTTTTGATGATGAAGTCGTTCATAAATTTCTTTCATTGGCTACTAATTCTTGTATGAAAAATTGTGAATTCATTGTATTATGATTTCAATTCGATATGAATTAATAAATTACGTTGATTTCTTGCAAAAAGAAATAGAATTCATTGCAATAATTTAGGCCGCTTGGCCATTCATTCAACATGGAAGCATGGATAAGATATAAAAGATATTAAAAGTTAGAAAACGAAAAAGGAAAGGCATTGAAAATATTATCTTGTACGTCTTACAACGATGAGAATTGACTAAATCATGTTTGATTCAACCGAAACCTACTTGAGATAATCTAAGAAAAACCCATCGAGGATTTGCATTTAATTCCAAAATATATCTGAAATTTGAATTGAATTCACCTTTGAAAAGAAAATCTTTAAGAGGGCTCTTCTTGAATCTTGAGAGCACTAAGATTTTCAATTTGTAATATGAGTACTACTAAACATTAATTTCCAAAGTATTGAAGTCCCCACAGGAAGTGTCCATCAAACTATCTGTTGAAACGTCAAATGCCTCTCATTAGAGACACGACTCATCGTAAGAAGAAAAAAGCCATTTTCCCGGACTTCATGTGATATTTTCCCAACTTCGTGCAATCTATGTCCCAGCCACCCCCTTTTCTCTGTAGCTCGTCCCCCTCGTTCCTCATCTTTCTCTTTCCCATCACGACCCCCCTTTCCCCATCCCCGTTTTCTCTTTGTAGTCACAAGTCAGGGTGGGGAACTTGAAGATTAGTAGATAGATAAGGGAAAACAAAAGGTTTTATTATTATTATTATTTTTTGAATCTTCTAGGCCCTGTTTGAGCTAAATTATTGTAGAATAAGAATGAAAAATATAGTCGTTATTGGGGCCTATATAAAAGATAGAAATTTTGAATTTAAATGTTGATATAATGGATAACAGTCATATTTTTCATTTTAATGAGATAATAATGTAGATCAAACGGGGGCTGAAAGAGATGGTTTGATTGTCCTTTTATTTACTATTGTGGTCACTTGCTAAGCAATCAATTAGACGAATTTTTGTACATGATTCATAAGTTAGGACACAAATGTTTCAAAGTTACAAATTAAAATTAAAATACCAAAATTCATATGAAAACAAGTGTTTCTTACAGCTAGGATACCAATCGGCTTGCATCACTCGATAATATGACTCAAGTAATTTTACTTGAGTTGAACCTTTCTTCGAGGCTTCAAAAAGGAAAAAACAAAAAAGGATAAATCGAGATAAAATGAGTCGTATAGTAATAATTTGGCTCGATTTCATGCCCACTATATTTAATGCCCACTATATAAAAACAATTAGATAATAATGTAGATCAAACAGGGGCTGAAAGAGATGGTTTAATTGTCCTTTTATTTACTATTGTGGTTACTTGCTAAGCAATCAATCAGACGAATTTTTGTACAAGATTCATAAGTCATAAGTTAGGACACAAATGTTACAAAGTTACAAATTAAAATTAAAATACCAAAATTCATATGAAAACAAGTGTTTCTTACTGCTAGGATACCAATCAGCTTGCATCACTCGATAATATGACTCAAGTGATTTAACTTTTGCTGATATTTTCTTCGAGCCTTCAAAAAGGGGAAAAAAAAAAGATAAATCGAGATCAAATGAGTCGTATAGTAATAATTTGGCTCGATTTCATGCCCACTATATTTAAACTTAGAGGAATAATCCAAGAAAACAACATTCTTGGTTACAATTCATTTAATTTGTAGTGATAAGAATACATGAAAAAGATAATTAGCAAGGGCCCATTGCACTCCCACATTATTCGTGCAACTTGTTCCCGATCATTAGACAAACTAAACGCCAGACCCCTCAGCCAACTAATTGTGGCTTAGTGGGTCCAATAATTATTTTCTTTAATTATTTTAGCTTTTTTTTTTAAAAAATAAAAAATAAAAAGGGCCCGTGTGGCATGGAGAGCGAGGAATGGAATAGTTTTCCTCTCTAGCTACGACATGGCCTATATCAAGCCAAATAAGGGTTGAAACTCATTGTTTTTATATCTTCCTTATACATTTTCTTGGAAAGTTTAGTCTTACCTTAGAAATAAGCATTAATAAATGGATGGTTGTATTGTCATATTTCATTCTTGGACCACTTTTTAACTATATTAAAGGTCTTTAATCTTTACTTATTGTCTTATTAACATCAAAAGTTTTTTAGCTGCATTCTTATAATCAACCTTTCACGAATTAGCATGTTTCGTCTCAAATGAGGATTTCCATCCAAAAAGTTCGTCGTGAGGGTGTGAAAAGACTTAATTGCCCTACATCAAGCTTTCTAGGGGCTCATTCAAGACGGAGGAGGTAAAAAGACTTATTTTTCCCCCATTTTTAAATAAGAAAAATTACAAAAAACTGACATAATATTTGCCCGTCATTTTAATGCAAGCTAATAAAATGTTTGGACGTAAAACCATCATCAACTACTAGATGCGCAATTTAAAAGAACACGACCAAAAAAAGTAAGAACATAATTGAGACAATAAAAGAAGATTGAGGGCATTGATTTAAATAAAAATTAATGAAATAAAAAGAAATTTGTGATATCAATACAATAATTACCTGAATAAATTTCTTGAACAAATCAATAGGTTGCTTCTCCACAATCATGAGTGGACTACATATGGGGACAAAGTGTTTATCATCTACAGATAGATAAAAAAAATTAAAAATCCATTTCTTGATGGATTTTGACTCATTATCTAACAAGGAAAAGATAATTGATCTCAAAGAAAGCTCAAGTTGACTATAAAAATATTACCAGGCAAAAAGGACAGGAGGTTTATGTTAATCATGTAGACTTGACTGAGTATATTATCATAATCATGTAGACAAGTTGGTATTTGTGTTGCTTGACTTATAAAGGTGTGTTCTTGATTAGAAATCTATTCAGTTTTAATGGAAAACCATTTGAAAACCCATAAAAAAAAAACTTTCAAAATTTGCACATCAACTATAGTCAATTTTTGAAATATGTACCATGCATAAAGTAGAAAGCTTAAAAGAAATGCATTGAGAAATTACATAAGAAAATAAACTTTCAATACTACATGAAAAAAATAGGTAAAACAAAGATTTTTTCTAAAAATAAAAAATAAAAAAATGACGCGTCGATTTCTTCTTCCTACTTTGAATATAGTAAAAAAATGACACGTCGCGATTCCTTCCATTAACTTGACAAGTAACTCAGTTTGATTGGTAAATCTTTATGCGTGAATTCATTTGATAATGTACTTCAATAAAGTAGGTAAACATAGAATTATTCGTCTCTTTTATTACATTTGATACAATAAATTAATGAAAGTTAAAATATTATCTGTTTTATTTTACAACGCTCCTATCATGTACACTTTAACATCGTAATCCAAACATAATACCTTCATGTACTATTCTTAATCTCGAAAGTGTTTGGTGTTGTAACAGACTAAAGATAATAATAACTGAAAGTAGAGACTAGAGAAGCTAAATAAAAGGTCTAAAAGCTTGTTAGAGATAAAATTTGAAATTTTTTTTACCCACCCCACCCCTTTTTGGCAGGTTTACAAATGGTTGAGCAGGTTGCTGGTTAGAGCAATATAAAACCAAAGGGCATAAGGGATTAGGATTTAACTAGAGATGGAACATTAGCAAAGGAATCTTGTGTTTATATATGTAAAAGCTTTCTTTGTTTGGTGTCCTTTTGGAATACTGAAGCCTCTTTAATCTCATCATATGTACCTTCCACTTCCTTCTTGTCCTTGCAAACTGCTTTAATTCTGTCTTCCTCCACTTCACTAATTTGTTCTTGAGCTCAGTCTAATTTCATGGCGTTTCTCTTCGTAGACAGTTTACCACACAAGAATAAAAAATTTTGTATGGCGGTTAAGGCCTTGGAGGTTCTGCTTTTATCAGCAGGACTTATTTCAACTCTGCTGATGGTTAGAGGATCCTTGATGCCTTATTCGTGTGAAATGGTTGTTTCGAGTCTAGTGGGATTTTGGAAGTCCTGCAAATGCTTCTTGTCTTCTCCTCTCTACATAGGTATAATCATCAACTTCATGGTTTTGTTGATAGCAGCTACTTCCAGTCTGCAACGGCACGAAACTGACAATCATGATGGTGTTGTTGATGTTGATGAGGATATGCAAATTGATAAATCTCCCTTGGTGTCACCAGCACCAGCACCACCACCACAGCGTAAGAACCAGAACCAGCCTCAGGATTTGACCGAAATAGTAGCGACACCACCAACAACAGAAGCGAAGACGACTTTATACCAAGGGGATCATAATCCTCCACAAATTTGGCAAGATTTTATAGATCAAATTTGTGTTGATAAAAAAGTTGAGGGATTTTCATTGGATTCATTTACTGATGAAGTTTTAGCTGAAACAATAGAGAGAGCCATGAAAGAGGAGAAAGAGGTAAAGTTAGAGAATAATGAAGAAGAAGATACAATGGAGGCAACATGGACGGCAATAACTGGTGGAGGAAAACAGGAGGCTAAAAAGAAGCAACTGAAGAAGAGTGAAACGTGGAACTTGGCACCACCAAGGAGGGCGGTGCAAAGCCTCGACTCCGAGGAATTGTTGCCATCAATTCCAGCATCATGGAAAGAGCTAAGGAAATCAGAGACATTTAACGATGCGGTTTCAATAAGGCAAAGAGGTGGTCTAAGGAGGGATCCTTCAATGAGTGTGGATGAAATCAACAACCAATTTGAGGCCTTCATCAAGAAAGTTTATGCCAGTATACGGTTACAGAGGCAAGAATCTGATCAGAGATTCAGAGATATGATCAATCGAGGATTGTAGATTCTACATATCGCTTTCTGCGTGTTTGGATAGATCTGATGAGTGAAATAATCAAGATTTTACCTTCTCTTTGTTCGTGTCGAGTACTATCTTATCCTTCGTACGAAACATACCATTAATCCGTCTGCATCTCATAAATTTTGCCATTCCTTTCATCAGGTGACATTATGTACTTTTTTATCTATATGTGCATTGTGTATGCATTTCAATAATCAAGATTGTAGAATCTTTCTTTATTGTACTACATATATTTGATGTCTGGCAATGCTTTTTTTATGTATAAAATAAATTCTGAGTGCATTAACATTCCTGGCTCCCTTTATTATTCTAGTAGGTATTCTATTAAACGATCCCTAAAGCATCTTAACAACTACCCAGCAAACATCAGAATTTTCACTTGGGACGACATTTCAACAAAAGCATCCATGGCCATTAGAGCAGAAGTTTATCGAGCTTTTCCCGGGCTTAGCTTATTACTTGAATGTAGTGGTCTTAAAAAATTAAAGTGAACCTTCGTCTAGGCCAGTTATGCTGGCCAAGAAATTATTTTCTTCAGTTCAAGTTGTAATCTATCTAGAAGCTTTACTTTCTTTCTTATCAGCCTTTAAGACTATGATTATTGATAAGAAAAATAACAGTCATATCATTTGGTGGTTAATTTATCATTTATTACCTTTTCGACTCATTAATAAATAAAAAGTTCAATTCCTACAATGACTTAAGGCCAATACTACAACTTCTTGGACAAACTAAAGCACATGTTTTCAAGCAACTAAAATGTCAATTCTTGTATATATAAACTTTTATGTGTCAATATTCGCGACTAGGGAAATTACAATTCCAATAACTAATATATGTGACGTTAGAATAAAGACATTCTATCGATCCTTTTTGTTATTTTATTAATGATCACCTTGTTAGTGTACAGGTGTCCTACATTGATGAACACCCAGAGTCCACGTGTTCACTACGTAGGCAAGCGAACACCACATAGGGCCAATAAACTAAATGACAACACTACATATGGTTATCTAAAGGAAGGTTACCATAATTCAATTTTGGACAAATCTTTGCTTATTTGTCTCTCCACACCCAATTTTCCGTATATTCTCTGATATCGGCGGTTGATTTGAACATCGGAGTGCAAACTTCACTCATCCCTTTTTCTTGATTTGCCTAACCGTTTGTTTACGCGTGCAAGAAACATATCGTTAGGCAGGTAAAAATTGACAACAAAGTCCCACATCTATCTGTGGAAAATTTGACACTGAAATTACAATAAAAAAACATATGGAAAAGGAATCCATGTACCTACCTACCTATATGTTTCTTGCACCCTCAAAAGAAGCCCAAAGATAAAACTTAAAGTTAAGGCGTATTAGTAACTGATCCTTCAAATCCAATAACTATGAGTTATGTTACGTTTTTTGTGCTTGCCATCTTCAGCTGGTTAAAGCCCAATGATGAAGCCCAATTAGTAACAGCCCACTTTACCTTTTGAGTGTGACCCGTTTCCTGGCCCCAGTGTGCAATCTCGTGTTTCTGTTATGCGATTTTGGTTCTAACTAATTAAGCTAGCTGAGATTGTGACACTTGGTAACGGCTGGATCGTTGGATGCACTGTGACTCTACATAATTCCAGACTCTTCCTTTTCTAATTCATTCAGTCGATTCATTTAGGGTTCAGTCTGGTTTGAGTTTCTCTCTGTAATTTTTCTCTTGATGAAAACTTATGGTTTTCATCTGTAATCTTGAGGTTAGATAATTTTGGTGATATCTTTGTATAGATTACAGTTGGTTGTGATTCTTGTGTTCTTGGTGAGCATAGATCAGGTTTACTGTGTGTAATTCGAAAAGGGAAAAATAGAGAGATTTTGGCTGAGGGGTGAGTCGAGTGGTTCTTTTGTCTCTGATCTGTACTTGATAAACTTCGTTCGGATTCTAGTGGATTAGAGCGATAATCACTCCGGTGAATGCTCAACGGGTGACTAGCCCTAATTTTTAGGTGAACATCCGGGCCTTAGGGTGAAAAATCTTCTGTGTTCTTTTTGTTCTTGTTATTGTGAATGTTTTTGGGCTTATAAAATACCAACAGTAGTATCAGAGCTTCTCGATCTGAGACTGGAAATTTTCGATCTAAGGGTTTTTCTTGGCATTCTTGGCGATCTGGTAATTGATCTACATGGATCTGTATTAAGGGAGTTGGATCTTCAATTTTTGTGAAAGTAAAATAGTTTGATTTTCACTATTTCAACTGTTGAACTGAGACACGTCTGGTAACGAGTATAGAACCCTAATCTTGTTTTTAAATTTTTTGATTTCTGGTAATTTTAGTCTTCTTGGTTAAAACCCACCCTGATCTTCCTTTGTCTAGGGTTTCATACGAGAACCCTAGAATCTGAGGGGACAGACTTTAACGATTTTTTCAAGACCGTCTTTCTTTATCTGTTTTTCGAATTATTACATATTGTGTTCTATTACTTAAGACTGTCTGCTTACTATGTTCACGTGTATTATACAATCTGAGTGAACACTACTGCACACAAACGCTTGGTGTGTTTTCTTTATGTGCATACTTTTCCATACTTTCATTATTTGTCACCTCTGTTTATGTGTGTACATTGTGGCAAGTACAAAAATTGATATTGAAATTTGGAATGTTAAAGGAGACTTAAGTCTCTGGAGTAAAAAGATGAAGGCACTTTTAATGCAACAAAAATGTGTTAAAGCCTTAGATGAATCTTGGGATACTGAAATTACACAAACTAGAAGGACAGAACAAATTGAGACTGCCTGGAGTACCATATTCCTACACTTATCTGACAATGTGATTAGAGAAATAGGAGATACTACTACTGCAGCAGAAATATG